ATATAATATAATATAAATTATATAATTAATATAATATATTAATGGCTCGTCGTTCGCGAACAGCTCATGTTCGACGCGTTCGTTAAGAAACGAACACGAACAGTGATTTGACGAACAATTTCGAACATGAGCTTATTTCAAACAAACTAAATTTCAAACGAACCGAACACGAACACAAGTTTTGTTCGTTTGTGTTCGATTCGTTTACACCCCTAGTAATTTACAATGATTCTGAGAATACAAAATAAACGCCTCATTTATTTTTTTCTTTTCATTATCTATTTACACTTAAATACATGTTAACTACTGCTTTAATTATAAATAGTTAATATTTATTAAAATATAATTTTAACAATTAAACTCATGATTGTAAGGTAATTTTAAGACAGTTTCACATTTTATGATTAAATAGATTTATGTTTGAAAAGAAATAATAATTTAGTAATATTTATAAGGAAAGTTGACATTGAATTAAAATTTAAGTAGGTTCATATTTTGGTCACTTAAATAAATTGATTTTATAAAACATAAGAGTAATTTCTTGGAAAGAGTCCTACTCTGATTCTCTTAAGAAGTTGTTGTTGATTATAAATATTTTGATGACTTCGGGCCCGTTTACGGGGAGGGGGGGGGGGGGGGGGGGGAGGGGGTTTATAGATAGTTTATAAGGATGTTACAGAGGGTATAACGAGGATATAACCCCCCAATACCCTCTCAATAACCTCCGACGTACGCAGCTCTGTGTACGTCTTACGTACGCATATTTTTCTCCTCTCAAAGGCAATATTGTTGCTACTCTAGCTCCTAAGATACGTGTTCCACCTCTACTAGTGAAGACTATTTTATAAGATAAATAATTTATTGTGTCTCTTGTGGTAACATGTATCAATGGTTGTTGCTACTGTGAAACTAGTGGAATGGGTATGGTAATAGGCATCCAAAATTACAATTGATGGGAGGACATGAATGATCTAGACGTTGTCATCATCAATGATGATCCTGGTGCATATAATATAAGAGGTGAATAGTGAATGCCCTAAGATTCCTTCTCCCTACTTTTGGTCATTCAAAGGCAATGGTTAGCAAGCTAATGAGCGGTGGTGGGTGGGGTGTGGTGGGGGAGTAGGGGACCTGTTAACATGGAGAATCCTGCTTTTGCTTGAGTTGAAGGATGAGATCTTACATCTTTAGTTGGCGAGTCTTGAATATAAGGGTAATGATTGATGTTCAAAAGATAATGTAGCACATAATTATTTCTTTTGAATTATATGAGATTTAAATGGCAGAGTTAATGAGGGCTTTAAGAGACTATAGAAGACCTCTTGGTTGGATTATAGTAAATATTAATAGAATCAAATCTTCTCTATTTATGCATAAAATTATAATTGAAGAAAGTCGTTAACCAAAGGTGGACTAATGGAAGATACTTATCCTTGCTATAACGGTGATTGTTTAGAAGAGAATTCTAAAATGGTTCGATGAAGGGATCATTTATCAAATTATAAATAGTGCTTGGGTGAATCTTACTAATTTTGTACCTGAGAAAGGTTGGTTAATTGTTATTAAGAATGAGAAAAAGAAACTTATACAAAATAAAAATGTTCTTAAGTGAAGAATATCCATAGACTACTGGAAACTGAACAAAATGATTAGGAAATATCATTTCCACCACATTTTCTTAATAAAATGCTTGATACATTGGTAGGACACCCTTATTTCTATTTCTTAGAGGGATACTCAAACTATTAATAAATTATTATAACACAAGAATGTAGGACATCCTTATTTCTATTTTCTAGATAGATACTCAAACTATTAATAGATCTCTATAGCACTAGAAGACTAAGGTAAAACAACATTTACAACTCCATATGATACTTTTACTTTTAAAAGAATGTCTTTTGTCATGTGTAATGCCCCTGCTAATTTTTAAAGGTGTATGATGTATATTTTATTATTTACTTTCATTCATTATTTCAATGAATTATCTATGGATGATTTTTGTTTTTTGTCATATCTTTTGATTCATTTATTTAACATATTGTGTATTTATTGACAACATTTACAACTCCATATGATACTTTTACTTTTAAAAGAATGTCTTTTGTCATGTGTAATGCCCCTGCTAATTTTTAAAGGTGTATGATGTCTATTTTATTATTTACTTTCATTCATTATTTCAATGAATTATTTATGGATGATTTTTATTTTTTGTCATATCTTTTGATTCATTTATTTAACTTATTGTGTATTTATTTAAAAAGTGCAAAGAAACAAATTTAGTGATGAACTAGGAAAAATTATAATTCATGGTCATATAAGGCATAATTCTAATGCATAAATTTTTGAGAGATGTGTGGAGGTAGACTGTATTAAAACATAAGTAATAAAAAATCCACCCACCCAGATCTGTATGAGAGATTATGAGTTTTATAGCTCATACTGAATTTCATAAATGTTATATAAGGGTCTTCTCTAAAATCACTAAACTATTATATCATTATTGGAAAAGAATTTACCATTTGATTTTAATAAGGAATGCCTAGAAGCTATTGAGATACTTAAACAAAAGTTGATCACCTCAACTATTAAATTAACATTGAATTAGAGTTA